GCACGTGTAGAGTTTCTTATTAAAAAATAAAGCCGAACTAGTTATTCTTCTTATATAATGTTCATTACTAACTATTTCTTGGGATAAAATCGGGATGGCTCTTGCTTTTTTATTAAGATTTTAATTTTAGAACCATAAGACTCACTACTATTTTATTGTCCCTTATACTAAAATTTTTTCTTAATAATTTAATTGCTTCGGAGTGTTAATTCGAAATCTACGAGGTGGTTCGAAAATTTTGGAGAATATCGAAGCTAAACCAATGATATTAATAAAGCATGTAGCTTTTTGTATAAAAATTAAAAATGGAAAAGAACCACAAAGCTTAGAATATTTAAATGATTCTTTTATTGCAGCTTCAATAACTTTTAAATAATCTATAGCATATATTATTATAAATATTAATATTGTTGATTATTATTATTAAATTCTTACCTTTTTCTTATTGTATTACATCCTGCAACTTTATAGCTGTAAAATAAAGCTACTGCTTTATAAAGAGTGCGGAGCATGGCTGGTGGAGTGACAGTTGGTAATTCTCGCACTCGAATCATTTATATATTTTAGATTTCATTAATAATGTACATGTTATATATAAACCTGATTGCTTCAAATGTAAATCAAGGTGTTGTGAAATTTTTGATTTAGCTTAAACCAATAATATTAATAAAAAGTCACACGGTTGGTACTAGTATAATACCTTCGGGGCATAGCTGGTCCCCGAGGATATGGCGGCGGTGCTAGCTAATGTTTTAGAGATGTTTCATTACCTTAGGACGATGGGTGGGTGCCCAAGCCTGGATATATCTTTCTTTTCTAGTCCTTCAATGAGCAGAAATGAGAGCTTAGACCCTTATTTATTTCTCCAATATTCTAAAGACTTCATTTCATTGTATATTATTAAAGAGCACTCATTTTTACATTTACCCAGAGCCTGAGAATAGCTCCCGATCCATCAGGGAAGGTACAAGTTGGATTCCGTATTTTAGTTTGGTAATTGTACATGATGGAGGCACTAGAGAACCATTCCGTTCGTATTCATGTCTTGAACCATTCCGTTCGTATTCATGTCTTAGTAAATTTCTAGGTTAAAACATTGTTACTCCTTGACAAAATAGCCTATTAGTTTATTCGAATTTATAAAGGAAGTACTCCCATTTCAACCTCTTACTCTTTCCTTTTATTCGGCTCTTTCTTATTTTCAACTTGAGAACAAGGGTGACTTTTCTTTGCTAACTCGAGAAAAAAGTCAGAGACAGCGTTAAACTGGGGAAGAACCTTAAGTTATATTTTTATTTTTAAGAAATCAACTATTTTCCACTTGCTTATAGGAAGGTAAACTTCAATTAATGCGAGTAAACAACTTTTTAACCAATCCACATATTATGAAATCATGTCAACAACTCTATAAATTGATAAAAAAAACATATTTTTCTAAGGTTTCAGGTTGTTTGTAAGTTTAAATGAGCATTGGATCCAAGAAATCTTTTTTTAGTACCATGCAAGTTATATATGGTTCTAAAGATAATTTATTTTTTTGTTATTATTATACTTGTATACTTTGTCTTCTCTGAGAAGGTAGTATATAGTTTTTGTAGAACTTCTTTAACCGTACGAAGCATTAAGATTTAGAATTACTAATATAGCCTCTTTTCAGAAGTTTATTATCCCCTTTAAATGTAAATAAGATCACATTCCTGCGAACCATAGCCGCATTAAGATTTTTTATGGTAATCTGAGGATGTGCACTATGAAAGGTTAATTATTATTTCAACTAAGTTTCTTTTCAATAATATTTTAAACAATTCTATACTTTTTTCTTTAATAAATAAATCCAGAAAGGGTTTGAAGTTGTCCTGATAAATCTCCATTGTCCAGTTTAGTTTGGTACATTGTGCCATATGCTTAATAAAGTCAGAAAAATGTACTTATCATTCTAACAGGTAAATAGATAAAACCACACCGTTATCGAGATTTTTTTTTTGTAAATTATTTTAAATTATGTAATTTAACATTTTAAAGTATTTCATATTAGTATCTTCATTATATTACTTTACAGGCTAAAGTATTTAATAACACAGTTTTATCCATTATCTTCTCTTATAAATACCGGCCTGTAAAATTATTAATAAAAAAAGACAAGACTTAAACCAATTAGAGCTAAAAGGGCTAATAAATTTAAGACACAAGTCTTAAATTCCAAGTTAAAAACTATTTCTAGTAATTACTGTAAAGTAATCTATACAATTAAGATAATATATTACTTAATCGTGCAATAGAAAATTTTTTTCTTTTCATAACACTACGAAAGAAACCTGAATATTCCTCGATGAAACTAATAACCCATCTTTTTGGAGTAAAAAAATGTTAACTTCTAATATCAAATAATTATTATGTAACATAGACCTCTCGGCTCACATTAGAGAGTACTAAATTGCGTAAACTGTTTGCTTTTAATTAAAAAAAAAGAACTATTGACAAAGATTAGAACCAACCTTGAACGCGTCTGTGATAGTATTGATGCACAATTACAACTTTTAAAAGTAAAGAAATCATTTTAAATCGCTTCAGTTACCTTCCCTTTTTTTTTTTAAAAGAGATACTGCCATTTTTTGTCTGAATGGTAATTTTACGTAAATAATTCGGTAGTTTTACTCCCGCTGTAAAGAAGAGCTTTCTAAAAAGGGCTTAATTATTAGTATTACATTTAGATTTTAATACGGGGTAATAATGTTAAGAGGGTTATTTTAAAGGGTTTTTTTAGCAAATGACGCATAATAGCATAAAAATCAAATTTTTTATTTATAAGAACTTGTAAGCGAGAACACTGCCGGTAAAGATTTGCAAGTTCGTTCTAAGGCAGGGATGTTGAGGGTGGTTGTTAAGAAGCACCTTTTGCTTGCTGAGCTTGCGAAAATTCAGAATTGATATAAAGCCTAGTTTTGCGTAATATAACATACACCATTGTTTTTACCTAAGAATTTAGAAGGCTCCCCAGGCTTTCCGATAAAAACTGGAGGTTTCTACTAACATTACTTAGTGAAAATCAATTCTTTAAAAAAATTAAATTTAAAATTTTTAAGACTATAGTTGCGATAACCATACAGTAACTTTATATCTACAGATACAAAAACGCAGTGCTTTTATTTCAAACTTATTGGTCTGTCGTGCGGACAACTTTTTTTAGGTTTAAAGTATATCTGCGTATCACCAATTGCGTTATTTTTCGCCTGAGCTACAAACTTCTTATTAAAAGTTTTTTCTACTTTCCTCGGTTTTTATGCGTTTGTCTATCCCTTTTCCTCTTGTTTTATAAACTTAGTGTTTTTAAACAATTCTTCGTTCTTCATATTTCCACCTTCTAAAAATAATTTTTTAACACAATTAAAGTAGCAACAGATTTGCTTGTAGCAGGATGAGCACTTGGCAAAACTGTTAATTTTACCAAAAGTATTCTTCCTTTATCACTAATAATTTTGTGAACAGAAGCTGCTGCCCTACGACTGAGGTGAGCAGCTAAAGCAAGCCCACCTTACCTGGTGACTGCTGAGCACCGGTAACCATAGGAAATAGCTCATGTCTGTAAAAGTAGTGATTAAGGTAGTCCAATTTTTATAAAGGCTTTATAAAGTGTTTTAACTGCAAAAAGTATTCGGCGTTACTTACTAAGTCTTCTTTAATAACTTGAGAAAAAGTAACAAACTGTGTACTTAAAAACACGACCGCCTTGATCTTCTAACCTTTCTACTTAAGACAAAATGCAGCGCTTAAAAAAAAAATAAAACTTATACAAATATATTTTTTACGCTTTTTTTCACTATTTGAGAGCCACTTAAACAATATGCAGGTGGTTCTGTAATATACAAGTAGACAAACCTAATAAGTAGTACTGCTTGTGATTCCATTTTAAAAAGCTAGTTGAATAACGACGTAAATCTTGTTTTTTAGTGATAAAGTACACTTTTTTTAGTACTACCATGCATTCCTGTTGCTGTTGCAAGCTATTAAAAGTCACTAACACAATTCGGAAACTGAGCACGTTTTTAGTTCTGGTGGTCCATAGGCACATTAAGAGGTTATACAAAACAATATAAAAGGTCAATATTATAAGCTTTTGCTTTTAAACTCACCCGGTATTAAGAAAAGCCTTAAATATATGTGCTCTTTAAAGATTAAGCAAAAAGTAACAAATTGTGTGAGTGTTCGTGGCTGCCCCTAAAAACAGACGGGCCACACAACCTTGAAAATGACTAATAACAAGGACACGAACCTCCAAACCTACGTACTTCTGAACATTGCTTACAGTCTCATTCTTTTCGGCTATGTTTAGCCGTGTAATACGTTGGTGCTCATATTCGTCCAAGTATACTTTTCGAGTAAACTTCTTTAATACCTTTTCGTTATAAAATCCAATCTAAATTATATTCAAGATTAACAGATGGTATTGCCTGAGTAGGGTTTTATCGAATAAAGCTTACTACAGAGCTAGATATGCTCCCAGTCCAACCGGCAGTTTACATATAGGCTCCCTTAGGACCGTTCTGTTCAACTTTCTATTTATTGCTAATAAAAAGTTCCAGTTAAAAGCAAATAACAATCAGCACTGTGCACAACTTATTTTAAGGATTGAAGACACCGACCAGGTTTCAATTTTTTGCTTAAGTGATACGGTTTTTGACTTCTCAATGCTTAGAAAAGATACGTTGAAAATTCCATTGCGGAAATGGAGAAAATTTTTAAATGGTGTGGAATTACTTTTGACGAAGGCATTATTTTTTAGTAGCTCGTACTATAATTTCTATAAATTTTTTAACCTTTGGCCATCAGGTCCATACATTCAGGTATTATGCTCAATTTTTTAAGTAATTTGTTATACATTGTTCGTAATTATAGTCTGAAAGAAAAGAACTTTACAAAGCTCACGTTCTTGCTCTTCTCCAGGAATTTTGCTTTTCATTTCTCTTTTTTAAATTATGTTTATTACAATTATTTGCAGGGGAAGAAAGCTTATCGCTGTTTTTGTTCTCAGGAATTGCTAAATTCTAAAAGAGCTCAAGTAACTGGAGGTCTTGTAACCTTTGTTAAATAATTATAACTAATTTTTTTTAATATTTTAACTGGAAGGTGTTCGAATTTACGATAGAACCTGCCTGAGACTTACAGAAGATGAAATTGAGACAAACTTAAAAAAGGGAACTCCCTTCGTTGTGAGGCTTAAAGTATTTTTTTCTTCGGACTTTTAACGCAATTTTGTTGTTAGATAGTTTATTTATAGATGCCGCAAGGAATGACTGTCGTGCAGGATATCGTGCACGGCGAAATTTCTTTTGATAACAGGTGCACTAATTTTAATTTAATTCATCCAAAAATTATTTAGCTTTAGCAGTTTAAACTTGCGCGTGCAGAACTAAAAAGATTCCAAAAAAAATTTAATATTATAAAAAAAGGTTGAATAGTTTTATATTTACATTCAATTTTACTAAATTTTGTTACAAGAAAACGAAGCCGCATAGTACACCGATCATATGAGCATTCTTAATTTTTTTAATCATAAGCTAAATGCGACTTGTTACTAATGCAACAGCACGCTGGAGGACTTTATTATACTAAAAGCTACTGGCATGGCCACTTACCATCTCGCTAGTGTAGTAGATGATCACGAGATGAAAATCACGCACGTCTTAAGGGGAAAGGTAGTGCTACTGCGGCACGACACCTTAATTAATCATTTAACTTTTTTCTTTATAATTATTTTTTATAGGAATGGCTCTCTTCGCTTCCTAAGCATTGCGTTCTTTATAGAAGCTTCGGTTTTTCTTTTTTTATTTGTTTGATTGGTGGCTTTTACTTTCTTATTTCCTGCTGTAACAGGATGGGTTCCGCCGTTGTTTGCCCATCTCCCTTTGATCTTGAACGAGGACAAATCAAAACTAAGCAAGCGTTGTGAGGCACTGAGCATCCACTCGCTATTGGTGTCTACCTGACCGCTCGTCGTTTCCAGCTTTAATTAACTAGCGACTTTTTATAGGAAAAGGGATACTTGCCGAGCGCTATAGTGGAGTACGTGTCCACGCTGGGCTACTCCGCTGATCTCCCCGCTAAGGATGCGGGAAGGTTAACGATTCAGCGAGATTTGATCAAAAATGTATTATTTTTGTAGATCCGCGCAGCGCTTGTGTTTTTGCTTATAATTTTAATTTTATATCTTCGCTTAAAAGTTTCATCTTTCGAAAATAAAAAGCACCGATTCCTGTTTTGATATGGAGAAGTTAAACAGCATTAACAAAGAACACTTACTTGAATTGTTTGCTAATAGAAATTTATATCCAAACGGTTATAATTCTTTTTTTATTGATGCTAAATTTTAATTATTACAATTTTTTTTGCTTTAGATTTCAAAACGCTTGTGGAAATTTTAAAAAAGAATATTATGAAGGAGTTTTCTTATTTACCGTATCTATAAATAAATTTATATATATAAAAAATAATACACAATACGTAGAAGCGATAAACTTAAGCTTGACGATAACTATTTAGAAACTGTTATTGATATCATGAAGGTATGTAATCTCCTCTGAACCACTATGAAAGCCGCACTGTGTTGTTACTTTGCAGGAAAGAATAACTGCGCTGGGTGAACTGCCCGCCTTCGCTTCGTACTTCTGGGACTTCCCTAGGAAACTTCTCCTCCAACCCCAGACGGTCGAATGGAAATCGAAAATATACAACAGCCATCACGGTACCACGTGACTTTTGGTGGCATGTATGTATTTAGTAGCCTCTCACTGCTCCTCTAGCTGGTGCACTGCAAGCCCGGCTGAGAGCCATAGACCCCTTCGATAAGGAGAACATTCGCCAAGGGCTGAGAGAGCTGGCCACTGAACTAGGCCAAAGCGCCGGCAATATCATGCAGCTTGCCCGCTTCTGCGTCACCGCTACAAGAGTATATTTTTTAAAAAAAAAAGGAATATTCTGTTTAGCTTAAGTATCCTTTTGAGGTCGGTGGGCCGGTCCCTGCCACTATGGAGGCTCTGGGCAAGCAGGAGACGTGCCAAAGGATCGAAAAAGTCATTCAAACTTGGCAATGAATAACGACTTTTGCTACTCGTATACAGAAAGACTAAAGGAGACAAAAATGCAATGGAATAAAAGTCTATTTAAAAAAGAAGGCAGCTGCTACAATGCTACGTTAGCTGCAGGCTCAAAAACTCGTGTTTCCTGTTCAGGTACTCTCCGAGCCTTGCCAAGCCGTACCCCATGTAGTCGTAGTCAATATCGCTCGTTTCTGATTGGACAAACGCCCAAGTGCCCCAAAATAGATGCGCGGCCTGCACAAGAACAAGTTTTAATAGCGACTCCCTTCTTTCTTTCAAAAAAACTTTAAAGTACAAGCGAGAACTGGTTAGCCTCAACGTACAGGCGTTCGAGCTCGTGCTCAGCATCTGTCTCTCCGCCCACATGTGAAAACTGACACGTGTTTGGCTCGCCTAGATAAGCCCGCAGGAACTCCATTTGCTCTGCTTTGGAGGGATATGCCTCCCATTGGAGCGGGCTTCGAGTACCTACCGGGGAGGGTTTTCATAGACAGGGGCGGTTTCCGAGTGGCATGTGCCATCAAAGACAACTACCTGCGAACTCACAAAAGTGGTTCCCGATGTCGAAGCCTCGATAGTTGTAACTCGCATATTCGTAGTCAATAAACCACACGTGGTCTATAAGTCACGACAGAAAGCCATGAAACACCAGCTCCATAGAAACGGAAAAAATGCATGCCTTCCTCCTTGTCGTAAAGAATGTTGGCTGGGAGCAGATCGTTGTGAGCAAAAACTACGGGCGCATTGGTCTGATCCAAAAATTCCTTTAAAGAATTCAGCTAAAAAATTTATAACAGAATGTAATTCTTTAAAAGAAAATTGTTATAAAGTTAAAAAACAAACCTCTTTCTTAATCCATTCTTTAGACGTCATCTCTTTAAATCGCTTATCGTTTTCGAAACAGCTAAACTTGTCAGGGACTATAAAACTAATAAGTTATTTTAATATTGATTTTAATGTAAAAGTACTTAAAAGAAGCCGCTTGTTAAGTGTGGACCATAAACTTGGCTCTACTGATATACCTGTTTTTTAGGTTTAAAGACTTAGAAGATTTTAAAATCGCTTAAAGAACAAAACCTAAAATCGTGGATTTATGCCAATTACGCAAGTACTTTGCAATTAAAGTCTTTATGTGCGGATCCTTTAGGTCTATATAATAAGAAAATAGAGGAACTATATTATAACCAAATAAAAAGAAACCTTCAGGAACCAAAGGGATTCCTTTCAAGTAGTCGTAGCAATATCCTGTAATTATTATATTATTATTCTTATTTATTCATAAAGAAACTAAAAGCCACCATTTTCAAATATTCCGTGTAAAGTGGGGCCTAGTGACAAAGTCCCTAAAGAAGCTATAACCTATGCGAGTCCAATTAATTACAAACCAGAAATTATTGAGCACAATAATTTTTTTGTTAAAATTATAGTAGATTTGTAATTAAGTTAAAGCTGAAGAGTAATCAAAAAGTTTGCAACTACAGTCAGTTCTTGATCTCTATTTATCAACGCTTCCGTCTTTTTGCCTTATATAAGGAGAAACAAAAACTTAGTTTTGACTTAACATTTGAAATAAAATTTACCATATACACGAATCAATATGGGTGTTTCTGCACCTTTTACCTCGCACTTGAAAACTATTAAGAAAGAATTTCAGGTTTCAAGTTGTCCGGAATAACTGAAATGTTGTTATAAAAACTCACTTTTATTAGTCAAACCATTTTCTAACCTTGTAATTTCGATATATTTATTACTCCAAGACGAGAAAAACTCCTTGAGAACTTTTCTTAATAGGAAAATACACTAAAGTTTTAAAAAAACTTAAACATAAGAAGTATTCTACCTAACTCCCTTATATAAATCTGTATGAGACACAAAAATATTGGAAACAGGAGGAACAAGAGGATAGTCACTATCAGACATTCTACAGAAACTGCAACTGCGCCAAAGACTAAACTACTTTTAACCAAAACACCTGATTTAAATAAAACTTTCAACAATTTCTTATGCACACGTGCGATATTTGATTGGATATACCGATATCTTAAACATTTAATGGCGATTAACAGTTGACTTTGAAAAAAAATTTTTAAAGCGACGGTTAAATGTATTATAATAATATAAAGCTCTTGTGCCAAATAATTAAAAAAGTAATTCAGGAATAAGAGGATTAACTACATTTCTTTAGTTAGAGTTTTTAAAAAAACTAATAGTCAAAATTTAATTACTATAATAAAGGCCTCGCAATTATAAAAAAATAGAAATTCGTTTAATATTAAAATAAAGTGAGTATAAAGATAACAATGCTAAAAATGGCTAAGGATGTAACTTTTTTTTATTAAGCTTACCTGTAAATATCAAAAATCCACTTGAATTATCACCTGACCAGGCCCCAGACCTGTAAGATATTCAGGACAAAAACTGAGAAGTTTGTAAAAATTACTAGTCAGGCCCTTTTAGTAAATTTGTAAGCGACGTACAATTCTTTACCTTTATCAATCATGTTATTGTTTTTGTTGACGGGGTTAACTTTTTCTTCAATGACCCAGTCTTCAAGTATTTAAAATACGCAACCATCTTTTATCATGTAATAAAAATAAAAATATTATTTTTTTTTTCACATCAAAAAACTCATTAATCTAAGAGACCGTATTAAGAGACAATACACGAGAAGATAAGCCCTATACTGTGAGACTTTCGAGCATAATTCTATAAACAAAATGCTATCCTCGCACTAATGAAAACACATTTAAAAATGACAATTGCTTATTAAACTGTATTCTAAAATTTGAGGTTCATATAATAAGTAATGAAGAGACCATCAAAAACCCCATTCTTCTCTTAATGTATATATGACAACGACAACTCCACTACCGGCGAATAGTAACCCGAAAAACACAAATATTAAAACTTTTACACAATTACATTAAGAAAAAACCCTAATATGTTACCATCTATGTAGCTTAAAAATAAAAAGAAAAATAATTTTAAATACCATTCTCACTTTAACATTATATCTTAAAAATAGAACAAGATGTTTGGAGGCGAAGTCTAGAACAAAATAAAATCTAACAAACAACAAAAAATTAACAAATAAAATAATCCTTAAAATGGCCAATTAAAAAGTAGAATTACCACTAATCTGAAATGTTGGTTTGAATTGACTCAAACTAAATAACTGCCTTACTTTATCCAGAAAAAAAAAATTACTGTAACGCGTTCTTTAAAATAATACATTTAAAATACAGAGCAATATTCGTAGTATATATATAACCAAGAAATAATATACTAGTTTTCCATAAAAATATAGACGCCATTCCGTAATTAATAAACTGATCGCTTTATTTGCTCTTGCATTTGTTTTTTGGTTCTTCCTGTTAGGTAGAGAACATGAAATAACGTACAAAAAATAGATTTTACTTTTCCTCTACTGTGAGAACCCAGCACCGATATAGACTCAACGGTGAGATATAATATATAATTAATAAATTTGACAACTGGAAAAGCATGGACACCGATGTAGATATGTTTATAAGACTTCTAAATCTTCTTTCCACTGCATCAGTTACCTTACTATGCTCATTAACAATTATTATCCATGTAGCAGGCTGTAGCTATTATACCAATACCACCATGCTCAAACAAGGATAAATATGATCGCCTCTTAAGCTTACTTTTCTGTTTTGGAAAAGCTGTGAGGCTGTGCTTCTCTTAAGCTTGCCTATAATTGTTGATGGTAATAACTTTATTTTCTTGATACTTTAATTTATAAAAGAAGTCAAGCTAACGCTTAACGAACTTTAAGGTTTTTGGAAAACACAAATAATATCATATATAAGGTATCCAATTTTTTACTGATACCTTCAAGAAGCTTTGACGGTCAATATTTTATTAATGTAGGAAAAACTAATCCTCTCTATTTTTAATTTTATCTCTAAAACTAAATAATTACTTCTAAATATATTAAATTATTAATTACTGTATGATCACCAAAAAGATAATCTATATATCTTAGTGGTCTAGATCTTTAAACTGGTATCAATAATGGTAACACTATTAACTGTAATACCTACCAATCAGGAACTTTCGACTGGGGCTTACAGTAAAAACAAAATAATAATAAAAAACCAAAGCGAGACTGAAGCGAGAAAAAAAATCTTTGTCCATTTTATTACAAAAATTGCATTTAATTACCTGAAAGTACGTTTTAGAATAATCCTGAACATTCTATATGTACCCGAACGCAAAAATATAAAACAGCTTTTCAGTGATTAATTTACTAATACTGCGTTTTTTTTGATTTGCATACTATAAGCATGTCGCGAGTTAAGAGTGATCACTTAACATTGACAGGGTATAAGATAAAGGTATTATATTTAATATCATCAGGAAAAGAACTCTCAGCACTAAACTATTTAAGTTTTAGACCCCTCAGAAGCACTTACCCTATATTTTATTTTAACTGCGAAACCTTTAAAAGTAAAATTGTTGTGGCTGCTTTCCACTACAATTTTTGGGATCAAATAATGTATTATAAAACTTTCTTATATTAAAAAATTATAAAAAAAGCTAGACTTTTAGATTTCTGTTTCAAAAAAAAAATTATTTAGCTAGTTAGTGCTTACAATACTTCTTCTAAAGCTGTCGTTCAAAATCGATGTTTTTCTAAGTTTTTAGTTGAGCTCCTTATTATCTGCCACAAAAATGTTTATGTTTATAACCGCAAGATAAAAGCGATTTTAATCTAAATTACATTTTTCCAACTTTTTTTAAATAACTTATTACCGAGAACATATTTTAATTTTAACCAAAGTCAGAACTTGCTGTCGAATTCTTGCGTGGATTGCTAAACGACGTCAAAATTAACCTTAATAAAAAGTTACGACCAATTTAATCCATTTGACGTGCCTAAAAAAAATTTTAGTCTCATTTTTATAATGCCAACATGCCAAAAAGCACTTTTCTAAATCATTTTTACATCCCTAAAAATCATTCAAGTTATAAGTTTATTTGACATTAATATCGGTAAATAGTAACGGAAACTAAAGCATTAACACCTCAAAGTAAAAGCAGACTACGGTATTTAGTATGTCTTGCGTTACGGAGCTTTGGATACACTTTTTACTTCATAAATTCTATATTTTTTTAAAGACCATAAAGCTTTTTATAGGGTTTAATTTAACATCAAAAAAATTATTTACAATAAGTAAATGCCAGCGAGCCTCGTGGTTATTGCGTTCTAGGACAGGCAAGTACTAGCCAGTGCTATATATTTCTGAAAATATTGAGCCACTAGCGCGAATTCCAAAATGTTAAAATAGGATATTACTTCATAGAGAAAGTAGACTAGAGGAACTACCATTATCTATAGATTAACTCAAAGTCGAGGCTTCGGTGGTTTGCATCGAACTACAGAGGTATCATTTACTTAATTTTTTTATAAATTTCTCTCTAGCTTTGACGCTGATCCATATAACTACAAAAAGATGTACGGGAGGAGCAAGTACTCATGTATTTAATGAGCTAGGAAAGTACTGCAGCACCTAATTTTATTTAGTTACTGGAGTCCATATGAATTGGGTCACAACTAAAACATCACTGCCTTTTTGACTTTCGCGCGTTTGAAGTCTCCTGTCTTAATAAATAGATTGTATGGGCAGAAGTAGAAAACTATAATCTCTGTAGGTTGATTCAAATTTATTTAACCTGAGGTGTTGCGTTTATAAAAAAAACCGGCGAAAACTACTCAAGCTTATATCTTTGACCAGAGAAAACAGTGACAACTCTATGTTCGGGCAAAAAGAGTAATTACCTTAAGTTGAGACTATGGTCTGTACGGTATAAAAACATTTGGATTTACAGTAAACCAGACTAAGCAAAACTTCAAAAAGAAGGAACATAGCTTTATTGTATTGTCCATAAATATAATTTACTTTCTAATTTTGAAGAACTACCTTTGTTTCTCCATAACAAGGAAAATTAAATTTCATTAACCAATAATGGGCTCCTATTTAACGTCCAAACACGCATCAGCACTCAGCTCCTTCGAATAATGCTAGTACAACTGGCAAGAGAACATCTAAAAAACCTTGTCTTGCCTTCAAAATAGGGTTCAATACTTAAATTGAGTTTTTCAAGTTACAGTAGTTACAGTTTTCTATTGTGGGGAGCTTTAAAGGATTAATAATCCTTCTAACATTTTAAATTCAACGAAGCGTTTTAAACTAGATATTAGGGATTATTTTTTTCTTTTTGGTATTTTCCCGTCGTTGGTGAGTTATATCTTTAGTTGGATGGTGTTACACCAAACAATGAATTACTGTAAGCCGCAGGTAAATTAGTCTCACTGAAGTTGGAGGTTCTATGGATATTTGATAATGGGTTGCTGTCGTTTACTTCAAAAATTATGCTACGGTCTTTTAAGTTAAAGCTTATTTTTAAATTGTAACTTAAAAATGTTTCAATTACCTCTGTGTGGTGTACAAGAAATTAAGGTTTATGAAAATGCTAATAAATAATAATGGAAAAAAACTTGTAGTTACAATATTTAAGAAGTATTAGTTGTGCGAACAGAAGAGCATAGTAAAATTTTTTAAAAATATACAGAAAAAGTACAAAAAGTAATAATTCGTCATATTACGTGTTACATATCTTTAGAATAAAAAAAATTCGTCTCTTCTTAATTTTCTATTATATAGTAAATGCAAAAAAATATTGTACTGTAAAGATTTACTACTTATTTTATAATTTATATTATGACGTTTTATAAATAAATTATTTAAAAGCTAGAGTTAATTCCTTATGTAGAAAATTATTCGAAAACATCTTTTTAGTTAATGTAAACCACTGCGATACCTAATAGTGAAATAAAAGAAACCAAGCACAAAAAGCTAGTAAGCTTTACCACAGTATGGTGCGTATTTACCCTTTTAGTTAACTTGAATATCCACATTAATATAACGTTTTTTATTAATGGGAAGTTAACTAAATATGTTATTAAGTTTGCCATTTATTATCTTCTTTATATAAATGGGTTAAAACACTTGTTCTTGGGCGCAAGTGCGAATCTAGAAGTCAGTTACCCTTTTATGATAACGACCTATAATTCAACTTTAAGATTGTGCGCAGGAAGAGAGTAACTTGTCGATATCTAGCTCACTTATTTCTTTAAACAAAAGACCAAATGCTGTATCTGGAATAGAGGTTGGGAGACATAGAGGTGATAACTGAGGGAACTTCCGTCGAGTTATGTCCACTATTGAAGAACTAAGCCATTTTTAGGGTTAGGGTCAATGGTTGTGCACTCATGACTTGGTTTTAATAGTCTCAAACATTTACAATTGACGAACCTTTTTAGAGTAATTGTTGACGCAAATGAAGCGCAATGAAAAAGTATGACCTATCGAATTAACCGCAAAAACCCGAACCATATTGTGTAACTCAAAGCAAACGCTCAAAGCTTTTTTTCATGTGTCGGGTAGTATAAAGTGATATTTATAGTAAAAATACTCAAAATAATTATTATAATAATTTAATAAGAAATATAAATAAGTGATATTCGTAGCAAAGATAATTGAAGCCAAGGTCTAACTAGCAATTTTTAGTATAAAAACTGAAAGGCGGATAAATTTACCAACACCTGCTAACGAGTTTTACAAAAAAAAAGTACAACTCTCAACTTATATTCTTTGCAAACAAAGCGGTGCGATTTGGTCATATGAGAAAATATCATTAACGAGAAACCAAAATTACACAATTCTCTTTGCATCGAGGAACTGTAGATTAAGTGGTCATTGATTTTGCAACTGTTGACTGTGGGTAGGCAAGTAGAAAAAAGTAAACTTGGAGAAGGGTTAGTTTGATTTATAATAATTTTTGTTGTTAGGTTAAGACATAATATAGGGAAAAGAATAATTACTTTATTGAGTTTATTTACGTTGAGTGGAGGTATTAACATTTTTAAAATTTTTAAAAGTTTTAATTAAACTGTTACGAGCCCTTACTTATAAAGTATTTTTAAACATACCACGCTTATAATTTATACCGTTTGTAAATGGGTTATATAATATTACAAATATTTTTTTTGTAATTTACTTTCTCTTTAACGTTGTGGTTACATGCGAGTTTTCTGCTAAGACCCCACAATTGTTTACAAATTCTGTTTAATTCTACGTGCAATTGGTTATAATGTAGATAAGTCCAAAAACAGACATAAAACATTCTTTTTGAAACTGGCAAACTGCCTTAGTTTTCTTTTTTTTTTTTGCCGAGTCTGTTTAAACCCTTAAATCTTTATATTAATTTATTTTTTTTTAAATAACTTTATAGGTTTATACTCTATCCTCTTTTGAGGCGCAAAGGAATCTTCTTACATGCAAGTCGCTGTAAGTCGATCAGCAGGCGACAATTGAGAATCTGCTGACTTTTAAGTGAGTTATAGGCTGCAAAGGCATAGAAACCCCATTATAAGAATTTGATCAAAATTATGACAAAGAAAATGCAAAAAATTTCTGATGTATTCTTTTATCAACTGAAACGAAACATAAAAAAATTATTGTTGAAACCAAAAGGTTAATAGTTACTTGAGCTACCTTTGGTCTTAATAATACTCGGAAATATAATTATTAAAATTAATAATACAAATAAAAGAATTATTTTTAATTTTAATATAAATAATTAAAAAGCAATTGATAAGTTGGCAAAATTCCAGATAAGTATTTGAGCTCATAAAGGTTGCATGGACAGAAATATTCTTAGCACCGCGAGCAGCATAGGTAATTTATGTTCGTGTAGCATCTTTCCTAAAATCTCTTAAGGGAAAGACATCTGTTTGTTCTCTTAAAATAAAAAATGACTCTTTTGTAAAACTTTCCAAGTCAAAGGTGAAGATGTTTCGACTTTAAGGAAATTTTTGTAAAGCACTGTAAACAATAGCAATTTAGTTTTGTCTTCGATGCAGGTCCTTGCCCGCAAGGCGTTATCCACCTCCGTGCAACACGAATGATACACTTGGAGGTTCAGTCCACTGGAAGCCATAAAGCTCTCATTAATTGGTGGCAGAAGCTGTTAGAATATGACAGTCTTTAATCAAGTCAGAGCAGGGGGTCTACGGAAGAGTACTCCCGTTAAGAAATGTCATAACAGGGCAGAGCTCCGAACGCGCTAAAATCTACTTCTTTCCGGTCTTCAATTCTTTACTTGTTACCCAAGCAGCGAAGCGTTAATATAGCGCCCTTGAGCCGCTCGCACTAATCACCACAGCTAAAAGTATTTCGCTCATCAAGGCGCTACAGGGAGGATGCTACCCGGCTACGTTTACACTATTAGTGAGGTACTAAAAAGTAAACCATTTGAGGAAATAAATCAGTTTTGTCACTCTGCACCGCGATTTTCGTCTGCGGTAGCCAAGGCAACTCTACTGTTTTAACAAAACATGCACTCAAAAACTTCACTTTCTAACTAAAAGTTCGACTTGGGCTTTTAACCCTTTTTACCCTTAAAATTTGAGCTCTATACCCGCGAAGGGCGAAAATTCTCATGAGGTGGTACGTAGATGACCCGTAGGTCGCACTAGAAATACAGCGAATTTTAAAAAAAAATAAGACACTTCATGCTACGTTATCACGCCGCGGAGTAGACCCCCGTAGCGAAGGCTACAAGCTTGGTGAATTTACAGATCATGAAATATGCATATACTATAAATTGCGCTCGTCAAGACACGCCTATTACGGGTAACCTCTGATGGCGACACTCTCAAACGCACTGCCTATGTTCTTACCAACGGGTGGCTAAACAAGATAGCACTGTCGCGTTCCGCGTTATACGAATAGTTGTTAGTCTGCATTATAGTTTTAGAAAAAGGGGAAAGTTCAGATGAATAACTTTTATAAAATAATTAAAACTTGAGATTTTTTAGGCCTCCTTGAGAATCTAGACTTACTATTGACTAATCTGTTTAAAAGCGCGATCAATACGAGTTTCTTAACTCGATGGAGATTTAAAAAGTCAAATATTAATAAGTAAAATTAACAACCTGTTTTCTGTTAATTTCTTTGTATTGCAATCTTCTCTAAAGTCAAAATCTTTAAGTTCTATTTTTTTCTCACAAGCTGATCTTGATTCTATATTTCCGGTTTACCACCCTGTCAATACGAGAATTTTCTTCATTAAATTAAAAAGTTAAGTTCGACCATTTTTTTTTTAAATAGGCAGTTGAAATTACCACACCTTTAAAAAGTGTTATCTCTTTAATAATCCCGCCTGGCTAATTTTAACTTTTTTTAGTAGTAAAGCTTATACACTTTTTTGCTAGCCGTGGGTGCAGCTATTAATGTTGCTAACGTTACTGCTTAAGAAGGTTTTCTAATATGACGGCATAATATGGGCGTTACGCATCTAAGCAAAAAGTTCAGCAAGCCTTTGCGACAAGTGGTGTGTCACGATCTCTTAAACCAGGAGAAATTTATAAATGCACTCTTGATTTTTATTAAAAACTAAAGCTAAACTGCTTTCGTACTTGTTTAATATAATAGTAACTTTCACTTGCTTTTCCCTTTGAGTATCACCATGATGTTTCAGCAACATCAAGAAATAAAAAAAAAAGTATCAAAGATACCGAAGAGGTATGTTAACGTAGCAATCTGCCCGGTCATCGTAGATATTTACACCTCCTTGCAGGTGGCTTTTTTTAAATATGTTAAGATTTTGGCATGGCAGGCAATAATCAACACGCCTCTGGATAGAGACCAGGCATGGAAGGGTTAGCAATATTGCATGTTTCTTTCTCTCAAGCCAGTCTTCCTCTTAACACAGAAATTGTTTAGTGCTGTCTTACTAATTACACAGCATTCTTCTTATTTCAACTAATTTTAAATTAATTGCGTATATTATATTGTTATGAACGATTGGAAATCCTTTGAACAAGTTTTAATAAGCTTTACGCAACCTGACCATAATTCTAGAATCACAGCGGAAAAAGTTATTAACGACTGCTCAAATGATCCCAATCGTTTTCTTGTCCTTCTTATTCAAGTTTTATCTCTTTCCAAGAGGGCAGAGGTAGATATGTAGTAACCATACCTCGAAAATATACCTATACTTAACTTATTTTATTCTGTATATCTCTATCGGTGAATTATAAATATATTTGTAATTAGATAAGACAGTGCGCAGCAGTATTATTTTATAAAATGAGTTTCCATAGTACAAAAAAGGAGACATGTATATGGCTTCGCGCTTCTCAGGTTTTATTTCTAATTTTCCTAAAATGTGGTTAAATAAAATCCTTTACTAAAGTTTTAGAGATTAATATTTTTTTTCCCCCATTTTTAATTATAAATTGGTTTTAGGAAATTCGAAGTGGCTGTAAAGTTGAACTGTTAAAATCCTTAAGAATTGAGGAGGTTGAACAAGTGAGCAAAACTATATGCGAGTGTATATGTGAGATTGTGGGCTTATATTTAAATAGTATTTATTTAACAGTCATTGAAAGCTATAACTTTTAAGTTTTTTTTATAAAAGAAAAGAGCGAGCTTGAAGGCTGGCCAGAACTTTATAAGGAACTTTTTGAGCTCACTCAGTCTTCCCACGCCCCGCACCGCCAAAGCGCCTTCTATATTTTTTCTTCTGTGCCTGCTCTCTTTGGCGAGGAAGTTTCTGCCCATACTAATCGCATTCAAGAGATACTTCAGGCAGCCGTTTCTCCTACTGAGCCCGACATGAAGGTCAGGGTCTTTGCAACACGTGCCGTATGCGCCTTTGTGCTGGCTTATCCAAAGTCATCTTCGCGTGGTCTCTTCGGTACGTGTTTAGCGAATCGCATTTGTCGCGCTTTTTTTGATGCTGCTTGCAGTCAATTTAACGCAGCAGATGTTGGAGCTAATCGTCGGGATCTACGCGAACCAGGCTGCCAGCACTTCCAGCGGCAGCGTTATTATCAGCGCCCATGCGGCCATGCAGGCACTGGTCAACATTGCTACGCAAGTCCCCGTTTTTTTTAGACCAAACTTGAGGATGGCCTTCTCGTATATGCTTGCAATGGCCAACAATGGCGACTTGGACACCCACGAGCGCGGTTTAGCCGTCGAGCTCCTCGTGTCCTTAGCAGAGAATCGTCCTGGTACTCAACTCGTGGGTCCGTGTCTTGCTTTTCTTGAACACATTCCTTTTTCTGATAGGAATGATTCGCAAACTTGCCAACCAGAGCAATGAATGCGCTCTGCTAATCCAGACGGCGTTCCGCTTGATAGTCAGCATCGAAGAAGAGGCAGAAGCGTGGCTTAGCAACGAAGATCCCGCCGACCTCGAAGAGGAAGAATTAGCAGATTTGGGTGAGCAGGCTCTGGACCGTCTCTCCCGATCTTTGGGTGGGCGCGTGGTCCTCCCATACGCGTTCGAGCACATCAACAACCTTGTGAAGAACCCCGATTGGCGCTGCAGACACGCTGCTTTAAAGGGGGTATCCGCCGTGGCGGAGGGTGGTCAGAAGCAACTCCTTCCATTGGTCAGTCTTCTTCGCATGCAATTCTTTCCTCCTAACGACTTATTTCAACGCAACAGCTCTCCGGTGTAATTGAAACGGTCTTGCAGTTTCTATCTGACCCTCATCCCCGCGTGCGCTATGCGGCCTGCCACGCCCTCGGTCAGCTTGCCACCGACATGCATCCCAAGTTCCAAAGAGACTTCCACTCCTCTGTGCTTCCTGGATTACTGCAGTGCATGGAGGACTCCAGCCACCGCGTGCAGGCACATGCCGCTGCGGCCCTTGTTAATTTCTGCGAGCATGCCACCTCCGAGATACTGGCACCGTATTTGGTTAATCTTGCCTACCGCCTTTACGGCCTCCTCAACAGCCGTCAGCGTATGGTCGTAGAGCAAGCCGTCGTGTCCATTGCCACTGTGGCCGACTCGGTGGGGTCATCTTTTTCTCAGTTTTACGGGGAATTTATGCCGGTTCTGAAGAACATATTCATAACGTGCACCGACAAGGAAAGTCGCACACTTCGTGGGAAAACCCTCGAGTGCATGACTTTTATCGGCTTGGCTGTCCATGAAGATAATTTTAAGGATGATGCCGTGTGGATCATGGAAACCCTCCATACCGAGTCACTACAGAGCGGCCCCCCTGCTGCTGACGACCCCATGGTCCCCTTTCTTCTCTCAGCACACGGTCGCATCTGCAAGACTCTGGGGAAAAACTTTGTTCAGTACCTTCCTTCTGTTCTTCCTCCTCTGCTTGAATCCGCTAAGCTGAAGCCTGACCTTTCCATCACGTCCATCGACGCGGAGGATGCTGCACAGGATTCCCAAGACAAGAGTTGGGACTATTTGTACATGCAGAACTATGTATGCCTTGATTGGCTCTTACCCCACTCTCGGCTCACCTCTAAGACTCGTCCCCTGCAGAAAATAGGCATCAAGTCGTCTACCCTCGAAGACAAGTGCACGGCTTGTGAGATGCTTGTTCTCTACGTGGAGACGCTGAAAGAAGGCTTTGGACCATATCTTAACGAAGTCGCGGAGATAATGATTCCCTTACTAGAGTTTTACTATCATGACGGTACCAAGAGCCAACGGGTAGCGCTTCCAATTATGTGCTATTCATTTAACCACGTGATCAGGTGTTCGAGTAGCTGCAGCGCAGTGCACGCCTCACTTGCTCGCAGCCGCCATTTCTTCGAAGTGCCCCTCCGACTATATTCTCAGCCTTTGGGGCTCAATTTTAAGCGAGTTTATTAAAGTTTTAAAGGCCGAAGACGACGCCGAAATGCTCGTCGAGCTTCTCTCTTATCTCAAAGATGTGATTTTTATAAAAGTATTTTTTATTCTATCTATATCACTATAATTTTTCCAGTGTGTTGAGGTTATGGTGAGCGTCATGCATGGCAACTGCGTCAGTGCCCAGCATCTGGCAGATATTGGGCACGTGCTGGTCAACCAGTTTAAAAACTACCGCATCCGTGTTGAGAACAGGCTTCGTGAGCGTAAGGACGTGGATTACGACGAAGGCGTAGAAGAAGAGCTCGGCGCTCACGACGTTACCGATGAGCTATTCATCTCCAGCGTACGGCTTCATCCCTCCCCTTCAATACTCGTCATTCTGATTCTTTTCTTCCTCCCTATCTCCTTGCCAGACAACCTCCCTTCTGCAGACTCTCTTCTCTGCTTTAGGGCTTAAGGCCGTGCCGTTGTTCGAGCAGCTAACTCCCGTTCTCGATGCCATGCTGGCCACCAGCCCCCCGCTTGACACCGACCTCACTTTCGTGTTTTGCATACTCGCCGACCTTGTGCGTTACTGTGGTAATGGTTTATTTCACTACGTCGAACGCTTCAAACTTCGCGAGATGCTCGTCCATTATGCCCTCGTGGGCAGCTATAATGTGCGAGGCACCGCCTGTTTTGCTATGGGCGTCTTAGCGTTATATGGCGGCCCACAGCATGCCAGCGTTTATGCCCGTAAGCTTTCACTTTACTGTAAAATAGCGGGAGATAAGGCTCCTGACTTTTTCCTGCAAAAAACTACTAATAGAGTTTGTTCCGCCACTGCTGGAAACGATTAATGAAAAATCTTCAATTCCAGCGGACGACGAAAGAGCGGAGGAATTCACATTTGTGTATGAAAATGCAGTTTCGGCGATTGGCAAAATATGCAGCGTGTCACCTCCTGAAACTCCTGGCATAAACGGCCTTTTACGAAGCTGGCTCAATTTTCTGCCCATCATCGATGACGAAGAGGAATGTCAGTTTGTTTACGACTATTTGTGTTCGTTAATAGAAAGGTATTGTCTTTTTTTAATACTCCCCAAACTGGCGTTATTTTATAATAAAAAAATACATCGTAGAGGGAATCCTGTAATTTTGGGCGAAAACAATGCAAACGTTCCTTTTATCTCAGACCTACTTAATACAGTAGTGCAGAAGAATCTAGTTGGCTCTGCATCTAATTTAGACACCCGTTGCAGAAATATTCTTGTCTACTTTGGCATCCCTAGCAAATAATACATGACAACAGCCACGTGGTTCAACCTTTGGTCACACAAGCACTTAAGGGGACTTAATTTTATTGTAAACTTTAGCTTCATTATTATGAAAATACTACGCCGCGCTAAATTGTTTTTTAATTTTTAATTATCTTATAATTATTATGGCGAATAAATAGTCAATATAGATTTTTGTTAAAATTGAATTAATTTTTTTTAAAACTATATATTTAGAGTTTTTATAACTATTATCATGGAATTTTATATTCATGAATTATAGATAGTTGTAAAAATTTTTCGTTTTGCAAAAGTTAGTACTGTTAAGTAATTGTTATTATTTTTCAAGCAGAAAATTAAACTATATAAATATTTATGGTTAGTAAAAAGGTTTATGCATTATTTTCGATGACTGGTGGTTTGAGCTGCAAAGAAAGTTAGATCTTGACTTTTTGGCTTCCTTTTTTTTAATTTATAAAGTATTAATTTTAATTTTCCCCCCCTTTATTATGCGTATACGCGCTAATGTAACAAGTTTTCCAGAAAAACCAATTAGTAAATCAAATTACAGTAACGCATTGCTAAACACGTTGTAATAACAAGCCAGTTTTTAAGAAGTTGTGAAAGGAACAGCGCAAGTTACATTGATTTTTAGGAGTTTTGCTGTTGTCCAATTGACTTTTTTAGACGAGCTAGCAGTATTAATTTTGTTTATGTTATAGTTTTAGTTTTTTAATAGTTTGAAGTACACTATCGTTATATTCGTTTCAATGTTTTGCATTTTTAACTTAATATAAAAATACTTTTCAAGACGTAATGGATTACTTAAAAAAATAGTAAATAGTAAACTTCTATGCCATAGCTACAATTTACTAATAATTAATCTTGAGTTGATTTAATATTTAAAAAGATATAAGCTTGGAAAGTAGAGATATTATAAAAATAATTTTGCACGTAGAAAAAAGTAAACTTAATAAGGGAGGTTTTAGCAATTAGTATGGCTCCCTTTTGCCAGAATCACTGCTTGCATCCACCCCGGCATGCTGGCAAACAGATTGTGGCATCTTTCCGGTGTTATATTTTTTCATTCTAATTGTGCACGAGTCTAAAGCTCGTCCAAGTGTGCAGGTACTAATTCGCATGGTCCCAATTCCCTCTTCAAGATTCCTCACTCATGCTCTATGGGATTGAGATCAGGAGATTGCGAAGACCAGTCTAGCACTTGAGATCACTGTATCAAAGCCAAGCTCGTATCGATAGTACGGTGTGCCATGGGACATACCCTGCTGAAAAACCATTTCATCAAGGTCAAGTCTCTTAATACGTGCTTGGGTGATGTACCCTGTCACTTACTCCTAAGATTCGACCTCCTTAGATGTTATACAGGACCAAATCATAATTTGATTCTCCATGTTTATACGGTTTTGCACCACCTGATGATCAAGTATTCTATTATTGCTAGTTAATTTACAACACCACTTTATACCATCTTAACCATATCGATTAATTTTGGTCTCGTTTGGAAAAATTACTTTTCCCAGTCAAAAATGTGCTGTTTTTCGTACTTCGCAAAATCAAATCTTAGCCGTTTGTGACAGTCTATCAAAGCGGGTTTAATTAATTTTTTTTGGCATGGAGATTATTAGACTACAATGCAGTTGATACGATCGATTTTGAAACTGGTATATGAGATGTTTTCTAACTTTTGAAGCTTTCTGTGAAGATTCATCCGTACCCGATATCACTTGTCGTACAGCTCGAGCTTCATCCCTGTTTTTCAATATATTTGGACGGCCAGGTTCAATGCAAAGACTATTTATATCATATTGAGCTTGATCCGGGATACTTCGGCCTCACCGGCACCACATTCACGAGCTATTTCAGTATAAAACTTGCCTTAATCTAAAAGGCATTTTACATCAGTTGCTTTATCGACTGAAAGTTTACGAATTATTACTTTAAGGTCTCTAAAAAAGCTGTCCTTTGAAGTCACTTATACGCCCCTATGATGGAGCGATCATGAAAATTTCGTATAAAGTTTAAAACAATTTTACACAAAGGAGGGTAAAGTGCAAAATCCTTTCAAGCAATACTCTAAATTTAAAAAGCGGTAGACAATTAAATCCTAATCTAAACATAATTTATATAATGGAGCAAATAATCAATTTATTAAAGCGTTAAAGAAATTTCACGAAAAAATAAAAACATAGAATCAGATTCGAACGATAATGTAAATATGTAGACTCTAAACTACTTAGCAATCAGTTTTATAACCTAGTTTTACTCAATTTGATATAATAAATCAATTAACTCTTTACTAATAATGATCTGTATATCTGGCGAGAATATTACCTTCCTAAACAAAAGGCATTAAAAAGTTAACGTAATTAATAATTCCTGTAAAATAAACGGTATACAAAGCGAATTTTATTCAATTAATAAATGTAATTGGCGGCAATTAATTTTTTTTTTTGAATTGTTTACTCAAGTCCAATTTTATTTAACTATATAATAGCTTTATAAAAAGCTATTATCGATAAACTTTATATTAATTCTGAATTGGTTGTCTTATAAAATTATCTGTTTGTAATAAGAACTTAAAGACTCGCCGCTAGGAGAGCAGTGGAATGCGCTATTACTATTATAATTAATTTCTTGACCAGTAGCTTTATTTAAGTAAAATATTGGTAAAAGCATAGCATTGGTTGATCCTTGTAATGATCCGCAGTTTCATTTTAAGATCGTGTTCGCCGTGAAAACTTTTTTTCAACAGATATAAATCTAATAATTGAGTCAATAAACAAATAAAAATAAAAATAAAAGCGGTGAGAGTGCAACACCACTAGCAAATTATAAAAAAAATTGAGAAAAACCATCGTTTAGTAAGGATTTGGTAAAAGGTTTCAAGTTCATGGACTTTACTTCGGTTTGTATCAAATTTAAATAGTACACGCATCTCCCGATAAACTCATACCTCTTATCTCTTGCGCTTTCTTTGTGTTGCTGTAGTAACAAGATTGATAGTCCCTAAGAAGCTGGAGATAACGCAGAGTTGAAAAATACGCAAAGGGTCAGCAGCTCGTAAAGGGACTGCTCAAGCTGCATGAAAAACAATTTTGTTCTTTGCTCCTTCTGGTAGATGCCCCTTCCTGACGAAGAGAAGCCGTAAGGGGTAAATCTACAAAGAGAAAGTACAACTAAACCTTTTTCCCTATAATACAGCGTCCACCATAATTTACGAAACAGGAATACGCCCACGTAGGCACTTTTTTTCCAAATATATAAAGAATAAGATAATGTAGTCCACCAACCAGATGGCAGCTTACATGCCAATCGCTGGTATCGTGGACATGATCTGCAAGTTCAATTCATTGGCTTTCATGAGTTTGTCTACAGTTAACATTTCCTCTTCGACATTGAGCTTCAGTCTGTAGCATTGCGATAAGCGAGCTAATCATCAATTAAAGAACACATTTACTTTTGAACTTGGATGAGGAGAGCGCGAACTAATTCGCCAAAAGCAAGGTTATATAAGGGGTGCCTTACTTGACTAATGAAGAAATAAGCGGTCACTACATATAATTCGTGGGTTATATAAAACCTCTCGTATGTTTGCATTAACAATTGCATGCGCTCGCGCTCGAGTGTGCACTCTGTGGATTGTGTTACGTTTTTTTTGCTCACATCCCGTGCAAAGTCGGTAAGCATGTTCTGTAGGGAAGCCCTGGCCTCTGCAACTTGTTGTAAGTCCCCAGCTCCTTGGTAAGTGTTCAAAAACAACTGAAAACAGCTATCAGAAGAGCCGGCTTCGTAGACATCACAACGATTAATACTTCTTTATAGATAGCTGCCAGCGGGGTGCTAATGTGCTCTATAAAAAAGGTCCTGAAGCTGTGAAAGCTGGCGCTTAGCATGCGACCCACAGCTCCTGAACCGAGTGATCACGAGGTCAGTTAAAATCAATTTTTTTTTAAAAAAGTATATTAATACTAATAACCTAAAATTTTTCACAATTTTATTAAACTTTAAACTTCTCAAGGTGGTCTTATTTTAATTTGATGAGTTATTTATTTAAACGCAGCAAATATATTGTTATTGAGTGCTATACAATTTTATAGCTATTTATAAAAATATTATGCTCCTTAGCAATACTATAACGAAACGGCTTAAATGTTTATTAATTAACTACAGGCAACAAGTATATTTTTATTAAAGACATTAATATAATGAGTTTTAAAAAAATTATGGAGTATATTAAATATATAACCTTAAAATCATACGTAGTATGTAGCTAAAGGAAAAGAACCTGAATTGTAGAACTGGTAGATTTCGGGAAGTGTATATAAAGAAGTCAATGCCAACGCCGACAAAAGTAACCAATTTTTAGGAATTTGATGTACTCTATTTAATAAAAATGGTTTAATAGCAGAAGGTTCTTCAATCAGCCACAAGTACTGCAGAATAATATAAGAATACTTTGGCTTATTAAAATATTCTATAAAAGCATAAACGCCACTTATTTACTCACTTTTTTGACTTAATGAAAGTTTTTATATCGTTTTTCACTAAAGTTGTGGTATTGAACACCTTTTCCAATAAGTCTACGATTGCCTTTTTACTCGGTAAAGAAGTCACAGTATAATTTTCAGACTTCATATTATTATTACTGTCATTATTACATTCTTTAACTTTAGGACTAGACCTATTATCAACACTCTTCGAAAAGGTAGCTTTTATTTTATATAAAAAGTTAATTATTTCTTGGCAGGCTCGAGAGATTTTAGAAATTATGGCATCTGCTTCTAGTGTCGTATTGACAGAAAGTTCTTGACAACTTTCAAAAGTAAAGTCGAGATTAACGCAAAGTTCATGGAGAAATCCTAAAATATCATAATAGGAGTAAAGAGAAGTAAAAAGCAGAAAAGTTTTATAAAATAAAAAACACAGGTCAGCCACACAGCAAATACCCATAAAAGTCATCAGTTCCACTTCCAAAGATTCCATTTCAGATATATTTTTTAACAAAAGTTTTTCAGCAGATATAAAAATAGAAGAAAAAAAATTATTTTTACTTTTTTTTAATTTCGACTTTAATATTGAAATTTTACAATCTTTTTCTTTCATACCAATAAAGCTCAAAGAATTGATCTTTCCATTGTTGCTATAAAACTGGGCGTTTAAGTCAATTAAAACCTTTTCATTTAAAGATTCGTCCTTTTCTATAGAGGTAAAACACAATTCAAGAAACTGGTTAAATAAAAATGTCGGCCCTAACATAAAAGGGGCTGGAAGGTAAGATCCGTTCAGTATTTTTTTAAGGGTATACGTCGTATTTTGGGTATCTTCTAAGCATCTAAATATTGAAGAGGTAATATAATCGCAACTTTCGAAAAATAGAGCCAACAAAATAAGTGCATCAGCTAATTTAGTCTCTTCCTCATTCTCCACAGGAACTTTATCAAATCCCTCCCTAAAATCTTGGAGTGACTGAAGAAAACCAACATTGACCAAAGGACAAAACCAAGAAAAAAAGTACTGCTTGAAATTACCCACTCGTATGCCCATCGCAGAATGTGAAGTAGCAAAACTTAACGGTTTAACTGAGCCACATATTACGTGTGTGGCCCGCTTGTAGCCGGGGTCTTGCTAAGCCCCACTAGCTGGAACCTTGTCTGATGAAGGGAAGGTTAATAGTCGGCAACCCATTAAATTACTTCGAAGCCCGTACTAGTAACAAATTTCGGTGGTGGATTATATAGAATTTCTCTTGTTTTTTTTACTTTGCTGATTCTACTCTCTCCAAGAATCTTAATACTCTTTTCTAAAAAATGTAAGTCAAATTTTGTGCTCAGACGCCTCTCAAAGGAAAAAATTAATGTTTTTAAATTTTTTTAAAAGGTCGAAGTCCACTACTAATAGTTGTTGCTATAACCCTAAGTATTAGCTCTAATATATAAAAAAAGCTTATATTAAGATCTTATAAGTTAACTGAGACGGTACCTTCGTCAAGTGCTTAAGAAACAACATACTACGCGCGATACATACTTTAAAGTAGTACTATTGCATTTTTTTATCACTTTTTTAGCTAGCGTCTCCTCCCACGCAAATGTCGTTAGTTAAAAGAATTACTAATTTTAATTGAAAATACATTTGTTTTCTTATATGCTTTATTTTAGCATTCAATTTATTTACTTACACTCCTCAAGTAAATTTTTTAATAGATAAACAGTATTTTTCTTTAATAACATTGTTTCCAGTTTTTGACGAATGAGGTTATACCTTCTTTATAAATAAGAAACAGCTACAAATCCTGTAATATCTCGACTCCATTCAAACCGCAAATATTTATAATCCAATGAAAAATATAAAATCTTGTAAATCAAGCAACTTTTTGCGAGAAAACCACTTAATTTTTTTAAGTTATTACCTTTTACCGTTATACTTCATCCGTTTGACAAACTTTAAGTGGGAGAGGGTACGGCCTCAGTATGAGCTCAGTACCATCATTTGACGATCGTTCCTCTGACCTTCGTAGTAAGTTCATGTGTAAGCCAACCGTTTTACGACTTTTTTAACCTATTTTTTATTATATACTATAACTCTTAGAGGAAGCTGGAAATACTTCGAAGGTGTATAACCTTTAAAGTAAATGTTAATAAAAGCAGCATGATAACCTTAAAACCAACTTCTATATTAACATTTCATTATGCCTTTTAAAAAGTAAAAAAATTGTTAAAAAATAGTTATTAACGAATTAAATTATTCTTTAGACTATTTAGCTTTTTGAGATCAGGATTATAAACTTTCTTTAACTTGCTTTACTAACCAACCTAACATGTTTAGAATTTTCAGAAAACAGAAGATACTGTAAACGATGAAGACGCTTTAAAAGCACTTCAGCTTTTGGTCTCTTAATAACTTATGTGGCTTCATTCTCAGAAATTATCATTTTCTATGAAATTTTTAACATTTTTTTTTGATAAACTAATAAACGCGATCTTTTCTAGACGCAACCACCTTCTTGGGAGAAATATATAAAAAATTTGCTTCCTATACTTTTGCTATTAAACTTTGCACTTCTAGTTGCTGGTGTAGGTAAATTTTATTTCGCTTTAAAGGCACAGTTGATACTATTAGGCATACAAATTATAAATACATGTAGCAAGCTAAGATTAAGTATAATAAACGGCGCTTGAATATAATTAACGCTACTGCTTACCAGGATCTTATCCGTGGGTTACGTGGGTCGGGCCCATCCCTCCTAGCGGAACTGTCCCGGTGAGCAACGGCTTATGGTCTTACTGCTCGTAAGTACTGCGAAACTTTATATTCCTTATTATTATTTTTGCAATTAGTTTCATTATATGAAGATCCGTTTATATTTTTATACCTACTTATAAGTTAAAATTCAATTAATTTTTCTGTCTTTTACGTCTCAAACCTTATACTACAATAACTCAAACTTTTTTTCAGAAGAGATCAAAGTAACAATGGAAAGCAAACTTGCTCCCGCATTACTCTGGATTGCCTCTCTTACAGGTTTTTTTAAGTATTTTTTCCAGTCTTATAATTTCGTAAAGAATTCAATGTAGCTGCCGCACGGAATGCCTCGGGACATGTGAGACTATATGTAAACTCAGGCTCATCCCTTATATAAGGCTTGGAGATTTTTTTTAATTTAATTTTTTACCTTCTGAACTTTTCTTGCTTGCAAAGTAATTGCACGTACTACAATACTTTCAAGTATTTCTGCTTGTCGATCTCTATGTTTTCCGGAATTTCTGGTTTAGTGTATGCGTTCGCCTGCTATCGCGAGTATAATGGCAAAGTCGGTAATTTTTTTTATTTATAAAAGCTTCACTTTTTAGTTAATCGCTGGTATTACACTTTTAGGAATGCTGTGTGCCTTCATTGAGATGCTGGCGGGTTAAAATTGTAGCCTCACTTTTTTTTTTAAACGAGTTTTATTTCTCTCTATATCCAGCTCTTTTAGGAATATTTCCGGTTACAGTCTTTTTACGAAGCGTAATGGATCAGGATAATCACCAATTTTTTAAGACTGGTAGAGCTCTTGATTAATTTTTGCAAGTGCTGCTTCACTACCGCCCTCTACAGGCGTCGGCTTTTATCTTTTTATATTCGGATGGATACTATCTATAGGCTGCTCGGTAGCCACCGTCCTTCTCTTTGCGCCAAAGTTTGTGGTCCGCAAAAAAAAAATTGCAAAGATTCTCTAAAGGAGAAAATGGATGGAGCCCAAATAAATTCGCTACTCACTTTTTTTTAATGTTTGGACTTATTATTTCTGTTGCTTATCAAGCTTTTTCCTTTTTTTTTCGGCTTTTTTCACTTTTGCAGCTCCCTCAGAGGAAACCGGGATTTTTTTCCTAAGCAGAAATTATGTAATTACTTTTTTAAATAAAAAAAATTAGTATTGCCCTACGCTTGGCTGCCTACCTGATTTCCCAAAGTGCCAAGTAGCTTCCAGAGTTTAAATACTCCATCAAAGTCTGGATTCCTTTGGAAGCCTCCTCCTCCTGTACAGCTCGAGTATAGATAAACATCGTTTGTAAGTAGAACTAACGAGGCATACTAGAGAGCTGTGAAAAGGATTCCCGGCCATCTTTAGAACTTTCCCTTCGTAGTGGAATGCCAGATTGCCTTTTTTTTCTTGTGTCAGCTGCGATGACGGCGTCAAAGAAACGAACAATACCGAGCTCGGGGGGGAGCAGTTGAATAGCGCAGTTCTGGATTAAGAGCTCTGCAAGGCGATTACAAGCACCAATGGAAGATGGAAGCATGCTTATAGCGTTGTTTCTAATCACCAACTAGAATTTATTAAAGTGGCCGATTTTAAAAATTTACAATTTCGCGTAATTGAGCGCTAACGAACCACGCTCAAATTAGAGAGTTTTCCTAAATCTTCTGGTAGTTGAGTGAGGTAATTGTCGTTTAGATAAATCATTCTGAGATTCGCTGTAAATAAATGGTATGCGGAAAACGTATATCAATTTGTGTAAAGTGTAGCAAATTCAAGTACTAAGATTAGTAAAATTTGCAGAGAGCTCCAACAGATTATTGCATCCCAAATCAAGTATTTCTAGTTTTGCTAATCCTCCAAATCCAGGTGGGAGTCTGATAATTTTATTATTACTAGAAAAAGTATATAAGCAAACATGCTCAAGCTGTGGGAGAAGTTATATACCCCGCATTAAAAAAAGTAAGCTTCACTAAGTTATTAAGACTTTTCGGCAAGCTCACAATATTATTACTGAAAACGTTAAGGTACTCCAAGTTGGACAAGCGGCCGAGGCTCTCTGGTAGAGCTATGAAGGGCTTTAAGTTAGTTTATTTATTATCCTCAATACCTAGCTTTCCCTTAAGAACAGTTACCTTTAAGTTGATTATTAGATAAGTTAAGTTTCACTAGCCAGCCAAATTCAACTTTTATTTAAAAAAATTATGTAAGGTGTGATTTTAGCAAGTATTAAAAATTATAACGCAGTTGCTTTTAATAAACTTTACTTAGAGACCATAAGTTATATATAGTATATTTTAAATTGGAGAAATAGTAACGCTACATATATCAAAAAAAAGCTTGTCGAAGTTTTTAAGTGATTCACGAGCCAAGTTTATATTGGGCTCCCTTTTCTCCTTAATACGTCCAAGCTGAGCTTTAAGCATTTTTAAGCGCAACGCAAAGAGCTGGCGAAGCTTCCCCTCTTAAAACTATTTTATAGGTATATTTTTATAGCAATTAACCCTCTCGAGTGCTAAGAAAAGCTGAGTTCTATTAATTAATAAGAATGGATAATATTTGAAAAAAATATGAGAGGCTATAAAAAATATTAGTTGGTTAATATTTAAACTTAAAATATGTGTTAAAAAAATGTATTTCAGAGTTTTGACTTCATAGTTTTATTTACTTTATAACAGTGTAAAGTTAAAAGGAAGTAGTGATTTGCTTTGCTAGCTACCGGCAACTTCAAAATTATAAGGTGAATGGTTTTAACTTTTATAAAGCATGTAGTCTTGTCACCTCTAGTAGCGGTTATGTTATAACTCTAGCGCTAAAAAGCGCTGATGAATTACAGTTCAGATGCAGTTAAGTAACTTCGCTGAACAAATTGGCTCCAGGGACGGAGTTGAATGCCTTCGACATATGGAAAAGATACCTTTCCGTTGTCTATCTAAAGCTTGCGGTTGCAGTTAATATTGTTAGAACAATTTATTAAAGGTTTTTTATTATCTACTGAACTATCAGTTCTGTTTCACAGGGGTTTTATTTCACTAAGGGTTTTAAGTTTTTGTAATAATGTCCCATATTAAGTTATCATAACAGACTAGTTCTAGACTACGATCAATCTCTTAGATTCCAAATTTAGGGCCCCACATCTACTATTATAATTATATATATCCTTAAGAAAATCTAAACTTTTAGTATTTGTTATTTTTATAATAATTGTACCAATAAATTTTGAAATTAACAGCTATCTCTCGTTAAAAAACAATTTGTTTGCAGGAAAACAGATTATATAATGGCTTGTAGGTTCAACTTTTTGTGTTGAAAATTTGAGATTAATGCCATATTTCGTACACGCAATTTTTCAAGTCATTACTGTATGTCTCCGTTTAAGAAAAAATTATTAAGAACTCTATCTTCTAGAAATGTATTTAGTAAACGTGGAAGAACGGCTTCGGGAGTTTTTTCAACACCGAAATTAGGGTAATCAAGTAATATTTTTGGACGCCCAAGTTATGTATTGGTATCCTTGTGATAAAACCTGAACAGAAAACCGAAACAAACTCCACTAAACTGAAGCAAACTAAAACACTGCGATTTAAATTAGCGGTCGCGCTCTATATATATAGTATTCTTCTTATAACTTCGAGAAACCTGGACCAATCATTCTGAATTTTTCAGCAAATGGGGTTGTCCTAATTTTAATTAAACTAATAAATTTTGGTTCCTTTTTTGTTAGAACACAAGAGGTTGTGCTTACGCTTGTGCGTTGTTATATGGAACAGCTAGCATATAATTGATTATATTGTTACTTTGACAGCACCGCTAAGTTGTCATTTTCCAAGATCTTCAACATTGCAAGGAAGTTTAGCTGGTTTATCGCTACCGAAGACAAAACATTACAGCATCTCAATTGTGTTGCTGTAAAGGCCATGC